TTAGAGCCTTGTCCAACAAGGAGCTCTGGTGACATGGTCCATAGGGAGATACACTGTCCTCTGGCTGTTCAAATCCTCCAGCAGTTCTGAGGGAGAAAGATAGACAGTCTCTTCCCATGTAATTTAGAGCCTCCGAATACCCACCGGAGGGTTAGTCGTGAGTTGGTTCCAAATCATTGTGACTGACTGACTGCTGGTCATATTCATCTTTTCTAAAATGTAATTGCTTTGTAAATTTAACACTACCTACATTTTCTCTGGAAGTGTTCTCATTAAATATGTTGTTCTATGTTGTTGTTATGTGCCGTCGAGTTGCTTGCGACTCATAGCGACCCTATGTACAACAGCCCTAAACTCTGCTCTGTCCTGTGCCAGTCGCACTGTCTCTGACACACCCATCCTGATTACCCCAGTCACCGAATCAATCCACCTCCTAGAGGGCCTTCCCCTCATGCCTGCCCTCCACCCTCCCAAGCATGATATACATCTCCAAGGACCGGTCTCTCCTTACAACATGACCAAAGTATGTCAGATGAAGCCTCAGAATACTTGTCTCTAAGGAGCAGCCCGGTTTAACCCTCTCCAGGATGAATCTGTTTGTTTTCCTAGCAGTCCATGGTACATTCAATACTCTTCTCCAGCACCACAGCTCAAAGGCATCAATTCTCCTTCTATCCTCCCTAGTCATTGTCCAACTCTCTGATGTATAACAAGTGATAGCAAAGACCATGGCCTGTATCAGATGCACCTTAGTCTCCAGAGAGACACCATTGCTCTTCAGTATTTTGGAGAGGTCCCTAACAGCATACTTTCCCGTGGCAATGCGCCTTTTAATTTCCTGGCTACTGGTGCCAAGAGTGTTGACTGTGGAGCCAAGCAAACTGAAGCTGTGAACAATCTGAATTTCTTCACCATCCATCCTGATGCTGCCAATTGGTCCAGTGGTGAGAATCTTTGTCTTCTTGACATTGAGCCTCAATCCATATTGAAGGCTGCAGTCATCTTCTTCATTTGAGACAGTAAAGACCTCAAAGGATTTTCAGTTTTGTTAGCCAAATAGACCTGGCCCTAGTTATAAATAATGTCTTAAAATTTGTTGTGCTCTACTGTTCACAACACACCCACATGCATGATAGCGTGTGAGTCACAGGATAGCCTGTTTCTGTTTTATAAATGGAGTAAACAAGGGGGTGTGTGTGTGTGTGTGTGTGTGTGTGTAACCAGTGACTCAAAATAGGTGGAAAATCAAAACAGAACTCAGGTCTTGTATTCTTATATACTCAGCATTTCCCCAATGTGGAATCAAAAGTGCTACTGGAAAACTCATGGGGTTGCTGGAATAGTAATGTTTACCATTGAGTAAAGATATCTTCCATGTGAATGCAAAGAAAAGGCAGAATTCATGTGAAAGCATGCAGAGTTAGAGTGGCCTCCAGATGGAGCTCATAAACTATAATATTCCCCGGCATCCCCCAAGAGCTTAAGAGTTGGCAAAACAAAACATTAAATGACTTTGTGTGTGTGTGTGTGTGTGTGTGTGTGTGTGTGTGTGTGTGAACTCTATGGAAAAAAATAATTGCAGGCTTTGGTGGAACCATTACAAGAAAAGAAGTGATGACCCTTTGTGAGAAAGTAAACAGATTTTCTTTGAAATCTGTGATACACAGCAATGGAAATAATGTTTTAAACCTTAAGGGGAAAGATCTCAAGTAATATATATTGTCCCAGATCACCCTCACATATTATCAGAAAGATAAGGATCTAAGCATTCCTACGTCATGTTGTTGTGTACCATCAAGTTGGAACCAACCTATACCTGACACCCTGGCCGGTTTTCAGAGGCAGTTAATCGCACATTAATTTCCCATCCTTCTCCTGTGGAGCAGCTGGTGGCCTTGAACCACATGCCTTCAAGATTGCAGAGCAGCTTCTTACCACTAGGCTCCTACATCATATACTGGTATTTATAAATGGGGGGGGGGGTGTAATGGTTTCTCCACCCCTTCACTGAGAGTATGGTGAGACAGTTAAAATACACGCCTCTAGATGAGGACGGATTGTTCTGGCTTCAGAAAATATAAGATGAATGCAGTTACTGGAGACTAGTGAACGGAGAATGTATTACTTTGAATCCATTGCAGATAAGTAGTTGGGTTCTTTTTTGAATCTGTAGAAAAGCAAATACAGTTGGCCCTTGAAGAATGTAGAGAGTTTAGGTGGACTGACCCCAAACACTATCAGAAATCTGAGACTGACTTTCGACCCTCTAAAGACAACTACTAAAGCTTTCCTTGACCCCAATGGAGTCGTTCTGCTGGATCCTATCAGGTTCTTATCAATAGTCATTGACGCTGCAGCAGTGGGTTTGGGTTGATTTTGTTGGTTAATGATTGTATTGTTTTGCTTTCTTAAGGACATTAGGGAAAAAACAAATGGAAATTTATAAAAAAATATATATTTAAATATATATTTAATAAACATATTTTGTAAATATATATATGTATATTGATATTGGTTCAGTTGTAACATATGTGCAGTAGTGATGTAAGATGTGACCAGTGGGGAAATTTGGAAGGGGATACACAAGAACTCTCTTCAACTTTTCTATAAATCTATATCTACTAAAATATTAGAAATTCATTTAAATAAAAATGTGCCCTAGTGTTTCAAGTCCAAATAAAATCGAAAGTTATAAAACTAATTACAAAAATGGCAAGTTTGAAGATGTAGTTGTGTGAACAACATGGAACTCTTTGGGAAGAAGAATAGAACATAATGGCACAGACAACTTAAAAAATCCTGTTGAAGCCTGAGGCAGCAATGGCAGTTTTCACCTGAGAGCACAAGTCTTTCTAGTAGCTGCTGCTTATATGTTCAATCTCTGGACAAGGGAGTAGTGAGTATAGAGTTATATGTAAAATCCAGTCTGGTTATAGAAATTGAGAGCTGTTAGTTTTCATTGAGACGCCTCCATCTCACTGTGTCGACCTTAGTTGTGTAGCACTGCTGTCACAAAAATACCACAGTGAATAACCTTGACAATCAGAGATTTATTTTCTCACCGTTTAGAGTGCTGGAAGTGCAAACTTAGAACACCTATTGGAGGGGGTAGTGTTTCTCTGCAGATTTAAAGGAAGGGCTTTGTCTCTTCAGCCTGTGTTTGCTGCTTGGCCCCTTGGCAATTCTCAGGTGTTTAGTAATCTGTTTTACCTCATCTCTACTTCTAGCTTGTGTTTAATCTCTATTATATCTCAAAAGAGATGGATTCAAAATACATCCTACATTAACCCTGTCTCTTTAACATAAAACAGCCCTTCCCAAATGGGATGATGACCACAGGCACAGAGGTTAGAGTTTACAGAACTTATTTTTGGGAAATACAGTTCTTTTCGATTAGATCCCTTTTCTTCCTTCCTTCTTTCCTTCCTTCCTTCCTTCCTTCCTTCCTTCCTTCCTTCCTTCCTTCCTTCCTTCCTTCCTTCCTTCCTTCCTTCCTTCCTTCCTTAAATGAACACAAATATGGATCGCTTCCAGTCAGTTTAGCCATGTAGCTGTCTTCCAGATTTTTTGGCATGGATGACTGAGCATGTCCAGGGCTACATCTATTTGCTAAACCAGATCAGTTAACATTCTGTCACTTATTTCCTGGAATTTTCTTTTTTGCCGATGCCTTCAGTGTAGCTTTAGATTCCTCCTTCATTACCCCTGATTCTCAGTCATATGCTACTTTCTAAAATGACTCAGGGTTAATTAATTCTTTTTTTGTGCAGTGATTATGTGTATTCTTTCTACCATCTTTTGATACTTCTTCCATCATCATCAGTATTTTTGCCCATAGAAACATTCAGTATTGTGAGTGAAGGCTTGAACTTTTTCTTCAATTCTTTAAGGTTTAGAAAGGCTGACCATGTTCTTCTCTTTTGTACCTGGAAATTATGCTTCTCTGTAGAAATTATTTAAATAACATCCAAAATTAAATTTTTATCTCAGTTATTAGGAAAATGCAAATAAAAATTAACATCTACATTTTAAATATTTACAAAAACAGGTACTTCATCTCAGAAAAGCACTCTAAAATATTCTGAAGAATTTTGCATAAATTCAGAAAAAAAATCAGAATATGAAAGTAACACATTCCCATTTTTTATTCATTTTGTGTGTGTGTGTGTGTGTGTGTGTGTGTGTGTGCGCGTGTGCGCGCGCGTGTACCGTCAAATCAGATCTGACTGGTACAGGAGGAGATTGTCCCTCTTTCCCCGGCATAACATCTGGTGGATTCGAACTGACATTCCCATTTTTAAAAATAAGCAAAAAAAAAAAAAGTAAGCATGTGCTGAAGAAGTATTACACTCAAAATTATAGTCAAATAATGATTTATGTAAATTTTATGTTTCTAAATGGAAAAGATAATAGTCTAGAATGCCTTACTAAAGTATTTCTAGGAAAGATTGAAGATAATTTTTTGAAAACCCATAGTCTAAATCACTCTTGACTTTTATTATTGTTATTATATTGTTTTTTCTCTTGAAATAACATTAAAATAGAACGTGAGATTTTTATTTTGTTAAAGAAAATATTTTAAAAGGTTGAGAAACTTTTAGTAATACTTTTAAATATATAAATCTGTTGACACAGTATATTTCTCAGTTTTAATGTATATCTGACAAGACTTCCTGAGAGCTGCTTTGTAACTTGGATGCTGCTGCTGCTGCTATTAATAGTGACCCTAACATTTAATGAAACTCTTGACATAACTGTCAAGCACTGTTCCAAGCACATTACATGTTTAGGTCATGTTACTGTCACAGCACATTTGTAAGATTATTAGTATCCCCAGTTAGGAGACTTACCTCATGTTAATGTCAAGTATTTGCTGTTTTTAGAACATTTGGATTTTATGAATGCTTTAGTTAAGTATTGATAAATGCTTTAGATATTTTTTTAATGTGTAATATTTGATAGTATTTTATTGAACGTTGCTCCCCCACTGTTTGTTTCAGGTTTGCAGTTTTGTGTGGCTATATGTCTGAGTTTGAGGGCTTACAAAACAAAGTCAGCTATGGACAGCGCTTCAAGGTATCTTTCTTTATATTAATAATGTTTTATTGTAACTGTTTTATTAACCAGATGTAAATCTAATGAATCAATAAATTTAGTTCTAGGGATTTATCTTTTTTAAAAAAAAATATTTAAAGGGAGAAAAGAAAATGCCGTTTTTAAATAACATCACAATAATAAGAATCAAACTACTTGGGTGATTAAAAATTATAAATCCTGATAGAGTTTATGTTATATATGAGTATCGGTTTTTTACAGATAGAGAATTGGAACTCAGGTTTTCTGGTCAGTAGCATCATAAGCGTGATGGGAAGGAATTAGCTGATATACTGTATATATCCTGATCTAGTGCAGGGTAATAGGAGCCAATCAATCTAAGGTTTAAATTTATTGTAGTAAATGAACAAAATAGTTATTTATGTATTGCTTATGAACAGATAATATATTTATGTATTATTTATGAAGTCTCTATTTATAATAACTTAATCAATAACCTCTCAGTTCAATAATTATCAGATGGATAAACAATTATTTTGACAATACCAGGGAAATGGGTTCCTCTCCCATCTGAAACTCCTCCCTCCATTACACCCTATAACTTGTCCCTTACTGTCAGCTCCTCTGAAAGTGTTAGCCAGGGTCAGGCAAACATTTTTGGACATAATTGGATTATTTCTATTTTAGAGTAACACTTTGACTTGTAGTTTTGTTACATTATAGACCTTGCTCTGGAACTCGTGAGCAATATTTCTTGATAACTAAATTATTAATAGGAATTATTTATTGGGGAAAGAGACCGCATTAGAAAAGCACCTCAGAAATTACCAGGCTTTGAGACTATAAGATCTGAAACTCAGGTTCCTCTGACTGTTTCTTTCAGGAACATCTAGATAAAGCAATCCAATATATACCTGAAGAACCCTTTTTGTATTTCCTCAATGGAAGATACTGTTATCATGTAAGTTTAATGCCTTTGTCTGTAAATCTTAATTAAATCTTGCTGATTTAATACATTTAAAGTGATATTCGTCCATTTATTGTGTCACCCTGTGTGTCCAAACTAAAAAACCAGTGTGATCAAGTTGAGTCCAATCTGTGGCAAATCCATCTATACTTTGGGGAAAATGATTAAACAGTATCAAATACGATACAGCCTTATAATTTAATATAATATGACTATTATTGTTTACCATTTATAAAATATGTTTATAACACATTTTCTATATTGTTTCTTATGTAATGTGCTGTGTGTATGCATTTCTTTTCCCTTCCTCTCTGTTGTGCTGGCAGTAGTCTCTGTCTCCCCTGGGAGCCCTCTCAGGGGCTCCACCTTTGCATGAATGTGTTGGTAGAATGTGTGGGAAAAATGTCTTCATTCACCAGCTTATTGAGCATGCATTATGTGCTTACTAAGTGGCCAGGAGATGAATAAAACATTGCCCTCCTTGTTTTCAAGGAATTTCATTTAGAAGGGGATTTAAACTATGTAAAAACAGCAGGAATAAATCTCTCTAGTCAGTGTAGGGGGGAGCTGTGATGACCTCGTGGTATGAAGCTATGCCACAATCCCAAAGGCACATGGTTCGAGCTCCACAGAAGAAAGATGGGCAGTCTCCTCCCATGAGATTAACTGCCTCTGAAAACCCACTGGAGTGTCAACTATGGGTCAGTTCCAACTCGATGGTACACAACAGCAACACAAGTCAGTCTAAGGAAGGACCTCTTGTGGCCTTGTGGTAAGAAACTGTATTGAAATCCCCAAAGTATGCAGTTCAAATGCAGCAGCTGCTCCTTGGGAGCAGGATGGACAGTTTCCTCCTGTGTTGCTTTTATTGCCAATGAAAACCTTCTGGAGGGTCACCTATGGGTCAGTTCCAACTTGAATGCATACAGCAATAGCCACAGTCAAAGACTCAGTGTTTTGCATGACGTTATTTATTTAACAAAATGTGAAACTATACCTTAAGTTGTATTGTTGTTAGATGCCGTTGAGTCAGCTCAGACCCATAACTACCCTATGTACAACAAAATGAATTCTTGCCTCATGCTCAAAAATGCTACTGCAAGTGAGCCCATTGTTACAGCTATGCTGCCAATGTATCTATCTCCTTGAGTATCTTCTTTTTCACTGACTTTCTGCAGGGACTGACCTTTCCTTGTAACATGCTGAAAGTCTATGAAATGAAGCCTCCCCAGCCTTGCTTCAAGTGAACATGCTGACTGTCCTCCTTCCAAGATCATGTTTTTGTTCTGAGTCTCCAGACTATTCAATCTTCAGTATTCTTCACCAGCACCACAAGTCAAAGGCATTATGGGTTCTTCTTCACTCTTGCTTGTGCCTTGTTCACCTGGCACATACCTATGAAGGGACTGAAAAACAAAAAAGCTCGGGTCCAGCACACTTTAGATCTCCAAGTGATAGCCTTGATTTTTAGCACTTTAAAGATGTCCTTGGCAGCTGGTTTGCCAAATGCAATACATGGCTTTATTTCTTGATGGCTGCTACCAATTGATTGTGGATCCATGTAAAATTAAATCTTTGACAACTTTATAGTCTTTTCTCCATTTATAATGATTATCCTTTATTGATCCAGTAGTAGAGATTTGTTTGTTTGTTTTCTTTTTCTTGAAGTGTAATTCTTCCTGAAGGCAATAGTCTTTAACCTTCAGCAGTAAGTGCTTTAAGTCTTGCTCCAACCATTTTTTACGTATTTTCAACAAAATTTTACTTCTGAATGATGTTGTTCTATAAGTTCCACATTTTGTCCAGTCACTTTTCTTGGGAATGTGCACAAATGTAAATGTCTTCTAGTTGGTTGAACAGGTAGTGATCTTCCAAACTTCTTGTGAGAAATGAGTGACCATTCTGTTGCAGTATCAGTGGGTATTCCATTAATTCCCAGAGCCTTGTGTTTCACGAACATATTCAGTGAAGTCTGTGCTTTTTATTTTATTGTATCAGTTCTTGATCATTTCTCCAGAAATGGTTGAACCTCAGCTAGTACTTTTTCACATGCAGTGACTCTGTGTATTTCTTCTATCTTTTTTTGATTCTTCCAACCTCATTCAATATTTTTCCCATGACAGTGAGTCAAAATTCAACACACACTCATTGTGTCTAGTCAGAGTCAATGCTGAGCTGACCTTCCACTGGATTCCCAAAGTTGTAAACTACACAGAAGGAGATTACCCATCTTTTCCCACAGGGAACTTGGAGTTGCGTTGGGTGACCAGTAAAGTTTCCTACAGGCTGCACCACCAGAACTGGAAATATTAGGAAGGACCTAAAATATTAAAGGCTCCTACTTAATAAGCTTGATCTGTTAAACCTATATAAAAACTTGCACTTAATCATTGGAGAATACACATTTTCAAACATTTATAGAATCTTTACTAAAATTGACTTTATATGAAACCATAAAGCAAGTCTTAATGTAAGAAAATTCATATCATATAAACCTTGTTTTATGGCCAGAGGCAATCAAACTATACATGTTTAAATGTGGTGTTTAAAAAGCCCTTAAAATTAGAAGTTCTAAGAAACAAATTGCTTGAAGAAAGTGTGGAGGACTTGAAGCATATACAGAAGATTAAGACCATAATTTTCAATATGAATTATATCTGAACATTAAAAAACCAAAAATCTTTGCCAATTATACCAATAGCAACATTATGATTGATGAATAAAAGATTAAAGCTGTCAAGGATTTCATTTTATTTGCATCCACAATCAACATCTATGGTAACAGCAGTCAATAAATCAAAATATATGTTGTATTGGGAAAATCTGCTGTCAAGGATTTTCACTCTTCTAAGTGCTAAAGAGTGATGACGTCCGTTTAGAATACACCTGATCCAAGCCATGATATTTTCAATTGCTTTCTGCAAGTTGGAACATGAGTAAGGAAGATTGAAGAAGAAGACATGCCTTTGATTTGTGGTGTTGATGAAGAATACTGAATGTCCCATGGACTGCTAAGAGAGCAAACAAATCTGTCTTTGAGGAAGTACAACCAGGACTCTCCTTAGAGGCAAGGATGGTGAAACTTCATCTCACGTACTCTGGGCCTGTTGTCAGATGGGATAAATAGTTGGAGAAAGCTGTTGCAACTGGGAAAGAAAAGGGGTCAGAAAAAGAGAGGATGACCCTCAATAAGATGGAATGGCACAGTAGCTGTAACAATGGGCTTAGGTAGGCATGGCAGAGATGGGTGAGGATGGTGCAGAGTAGGCCAGGATTCCAATCTATTGCTCATCGGGTCACTGTGATTTAGATTGTTGTTAAGTGCCATAGAATCACAGGCAACTCGTAGTGGCCCTATGAACAGAAGTCCTGGACATCTCCTATATAACTTTCGTCCTTTCTCCAAGTTCATAGGGTTTTCAGAGGCAAAATATTATGTAAGTGGATGTCACTCCTGCTTCCAAGCTTGTTTTAGTTTTAATCGCGGAGCTCCACAAAATACTGTCCACCATGGGTAACCATTCTTGCATTTGACTCATCAGTGCCACAGTGTTCAGCTTCACAGCAACCACGAGTTACCTCTGTACAACAAGTGAACATACCCGGTTACACGACCTAGAAGAATGTTTCACCAGAAACAATTAAAGGCAGGCCTGAGGGCCATGGGGTAGAGTCACCCACCTTTGTCTTGGGAGCATGACTTTGTGTCCACTAGACCCACTGCTCTCTCTCTTTCTCTCTCTCTCCGCTGTTGTTGTTGTTAAGTGTCATCAAGTCGTAGGTGACTCATAGCGACCCTTTGAATGAAAGTCCTGGATACCTGTATAACTTTTGTCCTGTGGTTTATAGTCAACTCAAAAGCACCTAACAGCAACAATCTGATAAAATTTTTAAATAGAAGTATGAGGTCTTCAAGGCTATGGAATAATAGGAATTCTTACATTGTTGGTGAGAACATTATTTTCAAAATGGAAACCACCCTGGACTTTGAGTTTGATTATTTGTCCACATTCTGATCCAGCCGCACTGTGATGAACCTAGATGAATTCTCATCAGTATGCCCCAGAGGCGTGAATAAGGTTTTTTACAGCTGCCCGATTCCTGAGAGAAAACATATGAAAAAGACTTTTTGTCCATTGTCACAAGTGAGTAGAAAATGTGGGCATATATTTAAACGATGGCAAAATCCAGTTATTAAAAATTCCTTAGCTTCAGTTACACTATTACATCACACGGATGAAATCTTAAAAACTTAATACTAAGGTTTTTTGGTTTTTTAAAAAAAAATACCAAAACCCGACGAAACTAAAGCAACAAACAAAAACTATGTCATAGACATGAAACTAAGTATAGTGAGTAAAATTATATAGAAAAGCAAAGGGAAAAATGCAAAACAAAAACAAACCACAAACCAAAGATGAAAATAATGACTACTTGAAAATCCAGAAGATGAAGCTGGGAAGGAAGGTGCCGGGTGGGGTTGGATGAAGGAAGCTTCAGTTGCTCAGAAAGGTTTCCTTTGTGAACCAGTTTAATCTTTAAAAAGAAATATCTAATGAAATGAATTGAGAAATTGTGCTACATTTACACAGTGAAATACTATGCAACCTTCAGGAGCCATGATTTTGTTAATTACTACCTAACATGAGAGGGACTGGAGAGCATTATGCTGAATAAACTCACTCAGTTTCGTAAACAAAAATACTGTATAAGACGGTTATTGTAGAATGAGTATGAGGATCCAAGGGAGGGTGGGGGCTGAATCATATGGTCACACAATTTGAAGAGTGGAAGGAGGGATGGGTAAATGAAAGGGAAAAGATCTGGTAGGAAAACAAAAGGGGGGGGAAGAAATATCTAATGTCTATATTTGAAGAAAATGGGAAAAAAATCTTAAAATATATTTTTAAAAATGTAAATTAAGTTTCACTTCAGTGTTAATTGATAAGAGGATGATCTGTAGTTGTATATTCTGTACCTCTGCAGACTCCGTGGTCTGAGGACCCTTGTTTATTTATGAAGTGCGGCCCTGTGGGGCACACACCATGTGTGCAGCACAGAACAAGCAGGAAGAGAGCGAAGCTCGGGCCTGGTGGCTGTCACAACCCCACACAACAATTAGGACTTCGCGGTTGTCTCAGGCAGAGTTAACCAATCTGATGCACAAATCACATTGCATTGTTCCCCATCCAGCTACATTTTCTCCAATTGAAAACAAATGTTAATAATGAGTTTTTAAAATTGTTTTTGAAATAGTGCTTCTGGAGTTGATTTTTTTGTATTTTTACAATGAATAAAGGAAAAATACTACAACATATTGATACTATTAAAACGCATCTATATACATATGTATGAGCTCTGGTGGCCTAGTGGCAAGAAGCTGCACTGCAATCCTGAAGGAACATGGTTTGAGATCTCCACAGGAGAAGGATGAGCAGTCTCCTCCTGTGCAATTAACTGCCTCTGAAAACCAGTCAGGGGGCCAGCTATGGGTCAGTTCTGACTCGATGGTACACAGTAACAACAACAAAATATGCTTATGTATGATGAAAGTACTATCATATCTATACACATAAATGTGTATGTGCATGTGTTGTTAGGTGCTATCAAGCTGAGTACAACTCACAGCGACCCTGTAAATAACAGAGCTGATTCCTGTACTATCCTGTCCATTCTCACCATCTCTGATATACTTGAGTCTCTTGCTGCAGTCACTGTGTTATCCATCTCTTTGAGGATCTTCCTCTTTTTCTCTGACACTCCCAGCCTTCCTCTCTTTCTTTGACCCACCATGCTTCCATGCATGGCATCCCTTTCCGTAGGAGTGGCCTCTCCTAACAATATGTCCAAAGTATTAGAGATGAAGTTTTGCCCACCCCTCCACCCAATTCACTCTTCTCTTTGAAACGTAAAATTCTTTCATTGTTATACAATTGCTCCCCCAAGTCCACTCCACTATGCAGCCTTCGTTCTGGACTCCTGTCGTGACCCTCTACTTTTCTAAGCATGTCTTTTTCTTAAGGTCGCTCTGTGATAATGTGCTCAAAAATATATAAGAGGAAATGTCACCATCCTTGGGGTCTAAGGAGTGTTCTGGACGGACTTCGTTTAAGACATATTTGTTCTTTTGACAGTTCATTCTGTTCACGTAACCAATACCATAATTCAAAGGCATCAGCTCTTCAGTCTTCCTTATTCATTGTCCAGCTTCTGTATATATATGAATCCTTGGAAAGTAGTTTGGTATCTGTTATCTACTGTTCCTATAATAAAGATCCCACCATTGGATGGCTTTAACTAACAAATATTTATTCTCTTAGAGTTTTGGAGAGCCAAAGTCCAAATTTGGGGGGTGCCAGCTCTAACAGAAGGCCCTCTTTCCCTTGGTTTTGAGACAGGGTCCTTCTTTCAGCATTTGTCAGCCCTGCATTCCTTGGAGACCTCCACATGTTTGGCATTCTGTGGTGTCAGAGAGCTCCATCAGGCAGAGGCCTAGATCCAAAAAGGCAACTTGCACTCCTGGTGGTATTCCAGGTGGTACTGAGTCCCCTCCCACCACCCCAGGCTCCTTTTAGATCTCTAGTGAGATTAAAAGTATTGCAGTCGTGCTCTAGGGGAACGTCCCTGCCTCCTGATTAGGACTGTCATTCCGTTTAGGGAGTGTTGCCTTCTACTCTTTATCTTTCTACAGCTATTTGGTTTAACAGATCGTGGTTAACATAATTTCCACATTATATCATGTAGAGGTGTTTGCAGGGAATACAGCTCAACCCATGACATATGACTTGGGTCATGTGCAGGTGACTTTAAAGAAGTCCTTCACAGCAGATTTGTCCAGTTCGATAACACCATTTGACTTCTTGACTGTCACTTCCATTGGTATTGAGTTTGGATCCAAGAAAAATGAAATTATTGATAACGTCAGTCTTTTCTTCATTAAGTGTGCTATTTATTAGTTTGGTTATAGGGATTTTTGTTTTCTGAGGTGTATGTATCTCAGCTCAAATAAGAAAAAAATTTTCCTTTGTATTTGCAGGTTTCAAAACTCAGCTGGATTGAGAAAAAAATGGCTGCTACTCTATTTGGAAAAATACCTTCCTCAACTGTCGAAGAAGCTTTGAACAATTTCCTTAAGGTATGTTTTGCATATCCATTATTTTAGTGTCAAACTGACTGCCATCCGCACCAGCCCCTTTACCCTTGTAGCCGGGGAAATTTTTCTCTTATTCACATGTAGATCTGTGAGTGGAGCCCCAGATTTTATTCTCACTTTAGAGTTCTGTTTAAACATTTTAGGATAGGAATTATATTTTATATTGAAACTAATTAGAATAGCCAGTTATACATAGCAAACTGCATTTTTAAAAATTTTTATTTTATGTCAGTTTGCATACAAAATTCATATACATTGTGTTTCACACTTTCCTTCATTCACATTGTGTTTCATATGATCATTCTCATACATTGTGTTTTATAAAATTAATCACCGTTGAACTATGACCACCATTACCCCTTCTTTCCCATTTAATTTATCCTGTCTCCTGACCCCATGATTTCCCCCTGCCCATTCTTACATCTCTGCTTCCACCTCTTACCACCTTGAACTTCCATACACAAACTGAAATCTGTACACCAGTGTTCATAGCACCATTATTCACAATCGCAAGAACATAGAAACAGCTCAAAGTCCTACCACAATTGAATGGATTGAGAAATTGTGGCACATTCACACAATGAAATGCTATGCAGCACTCAGGAGCAATGATTTTTAAAAAAAATACTACATAAGATGCACATGTAAGCATGAAACAATTACTATTTCTGTGAAAGTCTATCCTGTTATGATTTCTTATTTCTTAGAAAAATATATATTACTACCAATTCTACCTTTGCATATTCAAAAGTTACTTTCAATGAAGTTTTTAAAATGTGAAATAAAATACTACATAACTTGGGAGGGTCTGGAGAGCTTTATTCTGAGTGAACTTACACAGTCTCATAAGGATAAATACTGCATACGATCATTATTGTACAAATAGAAGGGTAACGCGTAAAATGTGGATAAAAGTTCAAAACTGGGAGGAGAGGGGGGCAAGATTGCTGAGGATGGGGAAATCACAGAAACACAGAGTTTGGTGTGTGGAGCAAGGTGGGTGAAAGAATTTAGATCCAGTGGGGACCTGAAAAGATGGTGCATAGATCAATGGTGATTGAGTTTAGAAAAGGCAATACAAGGGAATGATTGTAAGAAATACAATGTACATGAATAAATGAATACAATGTATACAGATTCTGTATGCAAACCAATATGCAATTTAAAAGAAAACAAACTCAGCAACCTCAGTGAAGGCTCTAGCCACCCCAGCCCTCACTATCACACTCTAAGGATAGCTTTCCAACTCATGAATCCATAAAAAAGCACTACCCTTATTGTTATATTTGGTCCCAAATATTCTTCAGATATCCTTGAATAGCCTAATATAATGTTGTTAGGTGACAATGAGTTAGCTCTGAGTATGCTCTCCCATATGAAACATAATGAAGCTTGCCTGGCCCTAGGTCATCTTCTTGATAGTTGTTATGTTCAAGTCTTTGTTGCTACCATTGTGTCTTATTCCGAGTTTCTTCCATCCTAGGAGGCTTGTCTTCCACATTGTCAAACATGTTTTATTGTGTCTGTAAAACTTTCATTGGTTGTCTTAATCTAGAAGCCTCACTGAAGCCAATATACTGTGGGTGTTCCTGCTGACATTTAAAATACCAGTGACATAGCTGCCAGCCTCCTGTTGTGCTTGGGTGCCATGGAGACAGTTCTTACTCATAAAAACCATATTTATAGTAGAGTGAACCTTGTCTGATCCTTCATCATCTTCAGCATTTCTGCTGTGCTTAAGCTTATTATTCAAGTCACTGTATCTATCCATCTCTTTGAGGACTCTTTTTTAAATTCTTCTTTTTTAAAATTTTTATTATTCTAACTAGTTTATTTACAAAATTCGAATACATTGTTTTCCAGAACAGAGTCTTCCAACTTCCCCTCACCCTTTCACCCATCAGATTGTACAACCCCATGATTAATCCCCCCGCCCCCTGCACAACCTCATCCCTCTGCTTCCACCCTTCCCCTCCCTTGGATCCTTACACTCATTCTATAATAATGGTTTTATGCAGTATTTGTCCTTATGGAACTGAGTTAGTTCACCCAGCATAATGCTATCCAGTCCATTCCAAATTAGGTAATAATTTACAAAATCATTCCTCCTGCGTGCTTTGTAGTATTCCATTGTGTGAATGCACCATAATTTCTCAATCCATTCATTTGTGGTTGGACATTTGAGCTGTTTCCATGTTCTTGCAATGGTGAATAATGCTGCTATGAACATTGGTGTACAAATCTCAGTTTGTGACTTAGTTCTCATTTTTTCAGGGTATATTCCCAGAAATGGAATAGCTGGGTCTTAGGAATTTCTATGTTCAGCTTTTTGAGGATGCGCCAAACTGCCTTCCAAAATGATCACACCATTTTACAATCCCACCAAAAATGTACAAGAGTTCCTTTCTCGTCACATCCTCTCCAACATCTATTACTTGCTGCCCTGTGAAACTTTACTACTCTTATTAGAGTGAGATGGTACCTCATTGTGGTTTTGATTTGCATCTCTCTTATTTCCAGTGATTTGGAGCATTTCTTAAAGTGTCTGTTTGCCATTCAAGTAACTTCTTCTATGAAAACTCTTGCCATACCTTTTGTCCATTTTGTAATTTGATTATCAGTCTTTTTCTTGTGGAGCCTCAATGAGATCCTTGATGTCAGATTTTCCCAGTGCAATACATCATTTGATCTCTTCCTTGATGGCAGATTTGCCCAGTGCAGTATCTCTTAACTACTGCTTGCAGGGGTGTTGCTTGTGAATTCAAGTAAAATTAAATCACTGACAGTTTCTGGTTTTCTTCTCCATTTATTAGTGGTGATGTTATTGATCTAGTTGTGACAATTTTTGTTTTCTTTATATTGAGGTGGAATCATACTGAAAGCTTTAGTCTTTGATCTTCATCAGTATGTACTTCAGGTCCTCTTAACTTTCCACTAGCCAAATTGTGTCATCTACATAGTAGAACCTTCATGCAAACCCAATTCTGTAATCTTCTTCATATAGTCTAGCTTCTTGGATTTTTTTTTTAACACACATGTATTTGGATACAACCCAGATACACACCTTTCTTAATTTTAAAGCATTCTGTATCTCTTAGTTAATGTACAAATGGCTGTTTCTTGGTGTTTGCACCAGTCTTCATGAGTGCAATGAAGTGTTCAGAGATTTCCCTTCTCACTGTCGTCCATGACTTGCTATGATCTGCACAGTGGAATGTTTTTGTGTAGTCAATAAAACATAAGTGAAGAATTTTCTGGTATTCTCTCCAAGATACATATGACATCATCATATACCTTATCTCATGATCTTTTATGAGTCTAGGTTGAATTTCTAGAAATTTCTTCTTAATATACTCTACTAGCCCTTTTTAAATAATCTTCAGAAAATTTTACTTGCCTGTAGTATTTGTAATATTCCTTGATAATTCCCATGTTCTACTGCATCTCTTTTCTTTGGAAAGGACCCATGTAGGGATCCTTTTCATTCATTTGCCCAAGTAGCTGTCTTCCAGATTGTTTCGCTTAGATGAGTGAGCATGCCGTGGACTGTGTCTATTTGTGGAAACATTTCAATTGGCATTCTATCAATTTCTTATTTTTTTTTTGCCAGTGCCTTAGACTTTTTTCTTCAGTACCTATAGTTCTTGATCACATGCTACTTCTGAAATGGTTCTGTATCAGCCAATTCTTTCTGGTACAGTGACACCAAGTATTAGTTCTGTCTTCTTTTATGCTTCCCATGTAATTCAATATTTCGCCCATAGAATCCTTCAGTACTGGAACTAAAAAGCAAAACTAGCTAGCTGCTTCTGAACTAATGGATGCTTCAAAACCCTGTTGATATCAGTGCAGCATGGTTTAAAATCGTGCTAGAGAATGAATACCTTAAGTCCCAAGGCACCTGGAACATGACTGAGGAAGAGCTACCTCATCAAAGGTAGAGTAAAGCTTCCAGCCAATGAAGGGCCTTCATCTGCTGATGTTGCATGATTTGATGTTCTTTGCCCAGAACGACAAATTGATGAGGAATAGTTCTACAGCCATCACTATCAGAGAAGTAGAGAAGGGGTGAACCAAACACCTGCTGAAACTTTTAAGTATCTTATTGCTCTGTAAGCTGTATGACCATACTGTTGTTGTTGTTGTTATGTGCGGTTGAGTCATTTGTGACTCATAGCGACCCTATGTACAACAGCCCTAAACTCTGCTCTATCCTGTGCCAATTGCACTGCCTCTGACACACCCATCCCGAGTGCCTCAGTCACTGAATCAATCCACCTCATAGAGGGTCTTCTCCTCCTGCGCTGTCCCTCCAACCTCCCAGGCATGATGTCCCTCTCCAAGGACCTGTCCCTCCTTACAAAATGTCCAAAGTATGTCAGACGAAGCCCCAGAATCCTTGCCTCTAAGGAGTAGCTCCAAGGGTTTAACCCTCTGCAGGATGAATCTGTTTGTTTTCTTGGCAGTCCAGGGTACATTCAATACTCTTCTCCAGCACCACAGCTCAAAGGCATCAATTCTCCTTCTATCCTCCCTAGTCATTGTCCAACTCTCTGATGCATAAAAAATGATTTCAAAGACCATGGCCTCTATCAGATGCACCTTAGTCTCCAGAGACACACCATTGTTCTTGAGTACTTTAGAGAGGTCCCTGACAGCAGACTTGCCCATCACGATACGTTTTTTTTATTTCCTGGCTGCGGGTGCCAAGAGTGTTGACTGTGGAGCCGAGCAAATTGGAGCTGTGACCAATCTCAATCTCTTCGTCATCCATCCTGATGCTGCAAATTGGTCCAGTTGTGAGAATCTTTGTCTTCTTGACATTGAGCCTCAGTCCATAGTGAAGGCTGCAGTCCTTGACCCTCTGCAGTAAGTGCATGAGGTCCTCCTCAGTTTCAGCAAGCAGGGTTGTGTCATCTGCATAATGCAGATTGCTAATAGATCTTCCACCAATCCTGATGCCACACTTCTCGTCATAGAGCCCAGCCTCTCAGATAATCTGCTCTGCATACAGGTTGGAAAGGTATGCAGATAGGATACATCCCTGGTGTACACCCTTCCCAATTTTGAACCATGCAGTGTTACCCTGCTCTGTTCTGATGACTGCCTCTCGGTCAAAGTATAGGTTTCACATTAGCACGATTAAATGTTCTGGGATTCCCATTCTTCTCAAAGTCAGCCACAGTTTGTTATGATCCACACAGTCAAACGCCTTGGCATAATCAATCAAACACAGATGTACATTCTTCTGGTATTCCCTGGTTTCTGCTAAGATCCCTCTAACATCAGCTACAATATCCTTAGTACCACGACTCCTTCTAAACCCAGCCATACTAGTCAACTTTATTTTAAAGGGTAAATTAAAGAACTCTCTCTGGATGTGGCAAGATGGGAACTCTTATACATTGTTGGTGGGATTGTAAAATGATATAACCATTCTAGAAGGCAGTTTGGTCCTTCCTCAAAATGCTGAACATAGAAATTCCATATGACCCAGCTATTCCATTGTTCAGAATATACCCCAAGAAAATGAGAACTGAGGATCAAATGGAGACTTACACACCAATGTTCATAGCAGCATTATTCACCATCACATGAACATGGAAACAGTTCAGATGTCTAACCAGAATCAAATAGATTGAGAAGTTGTGGTACATTCATGCAATGGAATACTACGCAGCACACAGGAGCAATGATTTTGTAAATTACTGCCTAACGTGAGAGTGACTGGAGAGCATTATGCTGAGTGAACTAACTCAGTCCCACAAGAACAAATACTGTGTAAAAGCATTATTGTAGAGTGAGTATAAGGATCCAAGAGGAGGAGGAGGGTGGTAGCAGGAAGGGTGAGGATGGGCAGGTGGTAGGTTGTTAATCATAGAGTTGCACAATTTGATGAGTAGAGGGGATGAAGGACATGGGAAGGATCTTTTGTAAAAAACAGTGTATTCAAAATTTGTAAATGAATCAGTATGAAATTTAAAAATAAAATCAAAACTCTCTCTGTAACTAAAAGTTACTTTAACTGATAAAAGCAAATGGAAACCAGCTAGACTAAATTCTTGGGGAAATCTGAATGATAATATTTTATTCATTGAAAGATGTTGTTTTCTTTTGTTGTCATTATTGTCATTTAAAAATTATCCTGTTGTTCTCTCTCTCTTTTTTATAATCCTGTTATTCTCTTATATATTTACATTAAAATCAGACTGAAGAGCTCAACCCTGGTTATTCCAAATCCAATTATGCGTACTTGGCAAAGGTAAGGAAGAACACTGTTTTATGATTCTTTTTAATCTGTTGACTTGCAATTGTGATTACCTTTAATATTACTCATCTTTCTGTTCCAGTGTTATTTGGATCTTGAGCAAAAGCAGAATGCTTTGAAGTTCTGTAATATAGCTTTGTCAATTCCTTCTGTTACGAATGAGGTAAGTTCCTACAGTGATGGTGTGTACCCATTAGTGTAATGTTACTGTTCCAAGCTCTAAGTATAAGCAACTAGAAATTAGAAAAACCTAACGCTTTATTTTATACTAAATCACTTTTTACTTGGAGTGTCCATGTCCTGTGAAGAGGTCCTTGGGTGGTGCCAATTGTTAAGGGCTCAACTATTAGTCTAAAGGTTGGCAGTTCAAAACTGCCAATAGTCACCTTGTAAGACATGTCGAGCAGTCTCCTTCTGAAAGGTCACAGTCTTGAAAACCTCATGGAGCAGCAGTCCACTCCGCCCACATAGGGTGACCGTGAATCCAAATGATCCCAACAGCAACATAAGAGTCCAATAAGAATGTGAGAATTAAGATGGCTGAAGTTGCAGTATCTCCTTAGGATGACAAGCCACCAGGACAACCTTTGTATTCCTAAGAGGCTAGCAAATCAAGGACCAGAAGTTCAAACACATCCCAACACTTGCCATTGGCTGTTACAACACAGGAAATGGGGCAGTGTGATACTGGGGAGCTAGAGGGTGAACTTCTATAGGGTGCAGACAAGATAGCTTTGAGCAGAGAGAGTGTACAAGGGGTTGGCACCATCAGTCCCAACTCACATTAGCATATGAGTTGTCATGAAGAGTTTTAGAAATATATATTAACTTTTTCTTATCCTTTACATATCTACAACTAATAAAAAATGGTTGTAAATATGACGTTACATTGCCTCAAGCCTTTTTGGCACATGGAAGTCCATTCACCCAGCTGGGAAACAGGAGTCTGGCACCTTCTCCTTCAGTACTCCTAATGTAGACCATCCACCCCGCAACCAGGAGCTCTGAATTTGTCACGTGCTTTGCACTTGTCCTTGTTCACCTAGATTAAGCATTAGGACACCCTCCTTTCTCATGGACCATCAGGTCAGTTTTGCCTCCCAGGAACAGCCAATATAGCAGATTAAATAGAAATATCAGCACATCACTTACTTGTTTAAAACTCTTTACTTTTAGGATTTGTTGTTGTTGTTGTTATATGCCATCAAATTGCCTCCAACTCATAGCAACCCAATGTACAACAGCCCTAAACCCTGCTCTGTCCTGTGCCAATTTCATCATCTCTGAGACACCTACCCCCGTTAACCCCCAGTCACTGAATCAATCCAGCTCATTGAGGATCTTCCTCTCCTGTGCTGTCCCTCTACCGTCCAAGCATTATGTCCCTCTCCATGGACTGATTCTGCCTTGTAGCATGTCCAAAGTATGTCAGACGAAGCTTCAGAGTCCTTACCTCCAAGGAGCAGCCTGGCTCCACCCTCTTAGGGATGAACTTGTTTGTTCTCCTAGCAGTCCATGGTACATTCAATACTCTTCTCCAGCACCACAGCTCGAAGGCATCAATTCTCCTTCTATCCTCCCTAGTCATTGTCCAGCTCTCTGATGCACAGCAAGTAATTACAAAGACCATGGCCTGTTTCGGATGCACCTTAGTCTCCAGACAGACATCGTTGCTCTTCAGTTCTTTGGAGTAGTATTTTACAGCAGACTTTCCCAGTGCACTTTGTCTTTTCATTTCCTGCCTGCTGGTACCAAGAATGCTGATTGTAGAGCCAAGCAAACTGAAGCTGTTAACAATCTTCCCTACTCACTCTCCAAACCTTAGCATGAAGATCCTATCTTCAGGGGAAAGTTCCTTGATATCCCCTATCAAGAATGCACCTTATTCTTTTCTTTCCTGTCATTTATCAAAGTTATACTTCTGTATTGGCATCATCAGGATGGATGGTGAAGAGATTGAGATTGTTCACAGCTTTAGTTTGCTTGGCTCCACAGACAACACACTCAGAACCAGTAGCCAGGAAATTAAAAGACTAATTGCCATGGGAAAATCTGCTGTTAGGGACCTCTCCAAAGTACTGAAGAGCAATGTTGTCTCTCTGGAGACTAAGGTGCGTCTGATACAGGCCATGGTTTTTGCAATCACTTGTTATGCATCAGAGTTGGACAATGACCAGGGAGGATAGAAGAAGAATTGATGACTTTGAGCTGTGGTGCTGGAGAAGAGTATTGAGAGTACCATGGACTGCTAGGAAAACAAACAGATTCATCCTGGAAAGGGTCAAACCAGGCGGCTCCTTGGAGACAAGGATTCTGAGGCTCCATCTAACATACTCTGGACATGTTGTAAGGAGGGACCGGTCCTTGGAGAGGGACGTCATGCTTGGTAGGGTGGAGGAACAGTGCAGGAGGGGAAGGCCCTCTATGAGGTGGATTGATTCAGTGACTGGGGTAATTGTGGTAGGTGTGTCGGAGACAGTGCGATTGGCACAGGACAGAGCAGAGTTTAGGGCTGTTGTACATAGGGTCGCTATGAGTCACCAGCAACTCTACGGTACATAACAACAACAACAACATACTTCTGTACTGATTTATGTCATTGTTTATTTACTGTCCATCTCCCACACTAGGCAGTTGCATGAACATAGCAGCTAGGTCTCTTTTTGTTCACCATAACATCCCTAGAGCCAAGTGTAGTGCCTTGGCACATTTATAAACTCTTCAGTATTGGTGAAAGGAATAAAAAGCCGGGCAAGCATCATACAGTACATGTGATGATGGTGATGGTAAAAAATATAACCAAGGAAATGAGACCCTCTAGAGGTATTTCTTAAACAAGCAGAATGTTGCTGCTTTAATGTAGATGAGAGCTGTCAAGTCAATTCCAACTCAGAGTGACAGGCAAAAGAGCATGAGTAAATATTTCTCACATTTTTCCTTCCATTATTTCTCCATTTAATATGTCTAGGAATATTTTGTTCTCAAGTAGTTGTACATGTACTCTCAGGAATATATTCTTTTTCAAAGACAAAATAGGATGCAATTAGTTATATGTGACACTCCTTATCTCTACAGAGTTTTTCTAGACTCACTTATCAACATGGTTTCCAAAGATCAAGTTGTTAGGTGAAAATCACTATAGAATGAAAATGGAGGATGACCCATCAGATCACAAATTGAGGATGGCTACGTCATTAAATAACTGCCGAACTTCTGTGAAAGCCATGGCCCAGTCAAATTGGCACCTTATCTGAACCATTACAGCCAGAGTGACTCTCCTTACACTTCAGCATTCATGACTGCCAGATGTTTTGTATTTGTTTGTGTGCAAAATAATTGGAGTATAGACTTTTCACCATTGTAAATGTGAAATGTTGGATAATGAGATAGAAAGTAAAAAGTAGATGTAAGTACAGTAGTGGTTTTAGTGACTAGTTTATTCCTTCACAAATTAGAGGGAAGACATCTAACCATCAATTGTTTCTTTCTTATGTGAATTGACATAATATTTTGCATAATTCTTGTGGTATTTGTCATTTTTTCCATGCGTACTAGTCTTTTATACACACGCATATGCATACTCATATACTCTTAAAGAATGGTGCTAGCTTTTACTACGTTCCATGTGATCTCATACACAGTTGGGGTAGTTTCTTTTATTTCTTTATTTGCTGAGTGAAAGTTTACAAATGATATTGTATTTCCATTCATTTATAGTCATTTGTGAAATGTCTTTGCCCCCATCAGCTATAAGCTTCCCATACTTGACATTGGGAATGTCAGCCACTTAGTCTGTGCATAAAAAAAGATTTCCTTTCTCAGAATTTCTAAGTATTTTATTTTGTATTATTCATGTGGACTTACTTTGACCTTAAGAAAATACTCTTGGGTCCTGAGAAGCATATTTTTTCACATTTTTTTAAATTAAAAATAAATGGGATTCTTGTGTCAAAGGCAACGTGAGAATGACTGCTAGGTGAAGTGGTGGCTTCATTATAAGCCTCAAAGCTATTTGTCTGAAGGCAGTATTAAAGATTTCTGACTTGGAGTCTGTGAGAAAGCTAGATTTTAAAAGATTATTATAGTTAGCTATACAGTGAGTGTATTTATCTTTAAAAACTACATTTTAAAATTGTTAATCATTCTTTAAAGTTACATTAGTCATTTTGTAAGATAAATTGTGTTGTGTTGTGTTGTGTTGTGTACCATTGAGTTGGAACTAAACCGTAGTTGACCCTCCAGTGGGTTTTCAAAGGCAGTAATCACACAAGAGAAGACGACCCATCTTTCTCCTGTGGAGCAGCTGGTGGATTTGAACTGTGTGCCTTTGGGATTGTGGCACAGCTTCTTGCCACTAGGCCACCAGTGTTCATATAAAAGTACAGAATGCTTCACAAATTTGCATGTCGTCCTTAAGCACGGCTCTACTAATCTTTTCTGTATTTTTCAATTTTGGTGTATGTGCTTATAAGACAGTAAATACAACATATCAAAAGCAACTACAAAAAATAAATATACTTTGAGAGTACTTACAGAAGAGCTCTTCATATTTAGCAAATAGCATGTTGTTTAATGCCATTGAGTCAACTACAACTCATGGCGAGCCTATGAACAATGGATCTGAACCCTGTCTTATCCTGTGCCATGCTTTTTGTCTCTGACATAGTTGAGCCCATTAATACAGTCACTATGTCAACCCATCTCGTGGAGATGTCAGCCACTTAGTCTGTGCATAAAAAAAGATTTCCTTTCTCAGAATTTCTAAGTATTGTATTTTGTATTATTCATGTGGACTTACTTTGACCTTAAGAAAATACTCTTGGGTCTTCTCCTTTGCTAACCCTCCACCTTCCAAGCCTGGTGTCTCTTTCCAAGGACTTGCCACTCTTAACAATATGTTCAAAGTATGTTAGACAAAGCTTCACCATCTTTGATGCTACAGAACACTCTAGCTGCTCTGTATCCAAGATAAGAGTTGTTTTCTCTTTTTGGCAGTCCATGGGATGTTCAGTACTCTTCTCCAACACAATTCAAAAGTATCTTTTCTTTTTCTGTCATCTTTCCATTGGGTCCTACTTTCAGATGCATAGCAATGAATTGAGAAGACGATGGCTTGAATCAGATACACTTTGGTTTTTAAACAGTATTGCTCCTTAGTGCTTT